TTATAACTTTTTTAAAACAAGCTAAATCAAAAAACCCTCTGACAAATTAATAGATTTTTAGATAAACTATATTTCTGTCAGAAGAATTTTTTTTATTCTTTGTTTTAAAAAAGTTATAAAGGATTAAAGTTTATATGAGTTCAAAAAATTGGCGTCTAATTTAGAAAAAAAAAAAAGAGATATATATTGTTAACCAATTAGAATCAATTACACAAAAATTAGCCAATCAGAATTGATTATATAAGCATTAAAAATTGGCGCCTATATGTATGGATTGGATGTCTTATGCTGTCCCGCACTGTATAAAAACTGATTTAATATATGTATTAGGATTAGAATGAACTTTGTAAAAGCACAAATATTAAAATTATGTAGTTTAATACTTAGCTCTGTTAGTAGTGGTTTTGCTGCTGCAGAAGGTATTCAAAGCCTATTCTGAAATACATAGAATATAGAAAGATTAGAAAAGTATATATTATACCTCCTTTAGAGTAATCTAATAGTATAAGAACTCTATTAGGTTATCTATAGAATTAGAACACAAGTAGTATAGTATATGTCAATCTGAGTAGTCTTCAATTAAAGCAATATAAGGTTATAAGCTAATATAATTATGATAGTGGTAAAGGATAAGAAACATCAAAAAGTTTAAATAGATAAACTCCTAGTTAAATTATAAGTATAATATATAATATAGAATCTTCATATAGACTATTTAAATAGGCAACTAAAAGTTGTATATATAGCTAAATATATTCTTATTAACCAAAATATACTACTAAAATATTTAATAAAAATTTATATTGTAAAGGTAAAAAAAAAATTTAAAAAATAGTGCCTATAAAAAGGATATAATTATATAAAAGATAATTGTAAAGGAAGATAACTATATTATAAATTATTTTATTTTGATAAATAAACAATATTGATTATTTTAAAATTAGAAAATAACTAGCTATATACGGAGTGTTTGGCACCTGGTCATGTGTATATATAAAAAATCATAACCCAGTGCTTGAAACTCGGGTCCCGTATATATAAAAAAATTAGTGTTTGAAACCCGGGTTATATGTTATAATAGGTAAGTTTTGATGATTATGATTATATTGTATTTAGTGCAATTTATTAGTAATAAACTCACTTTATTTTTTTTTTTCACACTATTGTGTCTTTTATGTCTCTGTATTTTAATTTTTTAATTCAAAATGAGTGCTTTATCAATCGGGACAATTAAAAGGCTAATAATTTCTGTGACCCATTTTTACATTATACTTATGATCTTCAAAACCTTCAGTATTTTCAAGATCTCGGTAACCTTCAAGGCTTTCAAAAGCTTGAAAACTTTAAATATAATAAAGGCAATCAAGATTTTAATAATCCGAAAGATACTTATAGTCATTTCTGTATCCAACTTTTTCAAGACCTTTGCAACTATCATGAAATTCAGGAACTACATGACCAGTTACAGAGTATTCAATATTCTGAAGTCCTTGACAACGTTTATTCTTTGTATATTCAAGATCCTAATCAAGATGCTTATGATGCTTCTCATGTTTAGTTTTTTTATAACAATGATATTGATAATTATTATGTTCAAGAACATACGATGATTTTTTAGATGTCTTGCCTCCGGAAAGTAACAATGAGGAAGTGTATAATGAAGTGGTTGATTTATGTGAAATGTCTGATATAGAGTTTCAAGAAGATGAGTTAAACAACAAACATTTAGAATTAAAGCTAAGACTTTCATTTTCAAACTAGCAGTTATTTAAAACTTGGTTAGATCGATTTGCGCTACAAGAAGGTTTTGATTACAAGGTTAGGACTAGTGAAAAAGAAGGAGAAATAATTAGGCAGGTTAAATATATGTGTACAAAATCTGGTATATATAATTTCCAAGCAACGGTCGATCCAACTAAAAAATGTAATAAGGTATCTCAAAGAAAAAGATGCAAATGAAAATTAAATATTACATTTCCCAAGTCAGTATCTGAAGTAAAAATAAATTCTTTTAATAATATACATAATCATATGCTTACTTCTATAATTAAAGAGATTTCTCTTCGGTTTCGCAAGTTGACTCCTGAAATGCTAGCTGATATCGAAAAATATGTAATTAGAGAGAGAATGGATTCAAGTTCAATATATCCCTTATTTAAATATGATTATCCTGAACATCCCTTGTACAAATGTGATTTATACAATGCTGTATATGTCTTTAAATGAAAAAATAATCTAGGAGATTCTGATGCTTTATTAATGCTTCAAACTTTAATGAACTGGAAAGAAAAAAACCCATTATAGATTGTAAAACCATGCTTGAAACCTGTATCTAGAAGATTAGCTTCATTATTTTGGATGTCATTATCTCAAAAAACTTTATATGAGACTTTCCATAATATAGTAATAATAGATACTACTGTGAATACCAATCGTTTTCAACTAATACTTCTCATTATTACTGTTATTGATAATCATTTTAAGATATGAATTGTAGCTTGTGGTATAATTGAGGATGAAATGTTAGATACATTCTAATGGGTTCTTGAGGAATTATTTGAAGAAACTGGAGTCATTCCAACAACAATTTTTACTGATAGCGATCCTGCTATGATAAGTGCAATCAAGAATGTTTATCTTACTACCAACCATCTTTTGTGCATATTTCACATAGATTTGAATCTTAAAAAAAATTAAGACAAAAATTAGATTCTCAGTTTGATATATTTTGATCAGATTTTTATATTTGTCATAATAGCTTATGTAAAGACCTCTTTGAGTACCAATGGGCAAAATTAATAAATAATTATCTCACAGCCGCAAATTACTTAACAAACACTCTTTATAGTAATAAAGAATCATGGGCAACTCTCTGGATTAACAAAATATTTACAGCGGGTGCACAAAGCACTCAAAGAATTGAGTCTATTAATATGCATGTTCATCAGAAAGTTGATTATGCAACTTTTTTGTGTAGTTTATTAACTAGCCTTAATGATCATATCAGTTAAGAGGAACATTTAATTATATTTAAAATTCAACACAACGTACTTCTAACAATTGGATTACCAATATTAAGTAATCAGTTTTTTCAAAAGCTGATGAAACTTTAAAACAGTTTCTTATACCAACTATGCTTGGCAAACAGCGAAATGAAATAAATTTGAGCATTTGTTATGATGCTATATGTATCGAAAAGTAGGTGAATTAATTGAGATAATTATTGTATTTACTTTTTTTTTTTTTTTTAATCTAAGATTATATTATTTTCAATATGATGTTATTTTAATAGAGATACATAGATAATATTAATATTGGTTTTTGGGTTAGAGAACAAGAAATTGAGACATGCCAAATTCTATTTGCATCATTAATACAAAACGTTCTATGTAAAATGATTCTTCAAGTGTGGTATATGCATTACACAGGAACTTCTAGACATAGGAATTATATAATACTGCTTAATGATGGTATACACTTATATACCTGTTTTCTTCTTATTAATAAAGAATTAATTTGTTGACACTTTTTCGTGTTGGTACGTATTCTCTATCAGCTGCATTTTATATAGCTCTTATCTCAAACTGTTGGTACTTGAAACCAAATATTGCATCAAATAATCTGTTTCAACAATTTCCTGCAGCATCTATTTCTATAACTAAGCAACAAGAGGCATCTGAAGTTACACCGCAAGTAATATTGGATCATCTAATTTCAATTCAGCAAAATCATATCAATAACGATAAAGGCTGTAAATCAGAATCTAAACTAATTAAAGCAAGATATGCAAGGTTATTCAGATTATCTAAAAAGGTGGTTAACCTTGTACTTGAAGCTGATTTATGTAATGAACTATCTGACATTCTTAATAATTTTCTTTGTAAAGCAAAAAATAAAGTATATACTAATCAAGGCAATGATAACAATGATGATAATGATGATAATATCAACAATCCAATTATTACAAAACACAAGAGACGCCTCCTAATAGACTCAAATCAATAGTAGAAGAAACTTTAAGCAAGAATAAGTGTTAGTTAAAAGAAAATACATCATTAAATGTAATTAACAACAGTTTAGAAATAGATTTGAGTGTTAAAAAGGCCTTAAGTAATATTAAGAGTTGTAAATGTAGCAAATGTAAGGAGTATGATCATTATGCCAAAATGTGTGATCATTTACAAATATCAGAATAGTTTGATATAATTGGTTTTATATTTGATATTAAATAATAAAGCTTTAATATATAACGAATTGTTGAACCAACTTAGCTGTTCTCAAGTACTTTTATAGGTTTATCAAATAGCTTTATTATTATTTAAGTTAAAGATAGACCTTTTTTTTTTGTTAAGTACAACAATATTTGTGCCTTGACCTTAAAATTCTATATGAATAATTGAAATTAATCTTATTTTAGTGTTAATATTGACTGATGACATTATAATATTTTTTATAACTATCATATATAATCATATGACCTTTTGGTAATAGGTTATTTTGATCATATTAAATGCTAATAAAAAATTTTTTTATCATGTTTCTTTTTTTTTTTTTTGGTTTTAAGGTGACCTCTTTGCCACGCTGCTCTTTATTCGAATATTAGTAGTATTTTTAACCGTTAGACATATCCTGATGGCTGTACATATTTGTTGGGTACAACTAGCCATATCTGTGCCTTTTGAGCACCTATTTAAGTAGTCTACCTATCATCAGGTTCTACACTAGATGCCGTACCTGCATCCCACTAGGGGGGTTACTCATTTAAACCCTCTGCACCTATGTACCAACCCTTTTATATCCAAGTGATGATACTTAGTACCACCTTATTTTCACATGCTGGCTTAGGGCTTTAAAGCGGTCTCTACCATTTTAGGGAGTCCTTTGACCTCAAGGTAAACCTGCTAGAGCCTTCTATACCCACATTTAGGCTGACCTAGGCTTTAGTAACTTACGCCTAGTCCAAGAACAAGTACTTGCAAGCCGAAGCCGCTACTGTTACCTACTTTTGCCCTTATAAAGTTCACTCTATCCCAGCCCTTTACTCATCCAATCAGGAACCTTTCCACTGTTTCACCAAACTTCTAATCCAGATAGCCCGGTTTGGTCTACAAGTTACGTTACCCGCTTTCCTACTGGCTTAACCCAGATACCGGCCTGTGCCCTTTTCTTTCGGTCGATTCCGGCGGCCTGGTTGGTATAGTGCTCGCCAAACACCCGGTCCTCGTTCAGTTCCACAGCTTATTAGTTTTCTTCTCAGACTTTCCAGAACCGTTGAAAGTAGTGCTACCTCTCTACTCAGGACTTGCCAAGCAGATTCCTATTCAGGACAAAGTCCAACGGATTTACACAGGTCCCGGAGACTTATCATGGGTTTACACCGCCTTTTATCAGTTTGTATCCCTTTATATAACTCCTCTATTACACGAATGCCCCAAGATCTTCCAAGTCTGTACTACCATCCCGATTAGGGCTTGCGAGATAAGCTGTCCGTTAGGCGATCATTACCCCTTGCACCTATTTGGTCTGACTGTCATTACAGGATCTCTATTTCAATACCCGAAATAGTTATCAATGCACAGAAGAATTCGATTTTTTCGTCGTCGGTGGAAATTAAACTCTGGATGTGTCGCTTGGGGGGGCGACAACTTGACCACTTCACTAAGTCGCCACGCCCTTTATCATAATTCTTACTTTAGCGAAGGGTTATAAAGTTTTATTAACCTTCGTTATAATTGAATGACCTGTGAAAGATCATAAATATCATAGATAATTTAAGATTATCGTCTAACACTATATACTGATATATTTATCAAGTTTAATAAATCAGTCAAGATTAAAAATTTTGAATTATTTGTGTAGATTAATTTCATATTAAGGAGTAATACTTGAGAATAGCTTTGAAGCTTGAATCAATTAATAGTCAAATAATTCGCTATTAATTTGTTATAATGTTACATTATATTTTTACAATGTTGTAACCTCACCTGCTATATAAGCCATGTCGATTATGATATACTATTGCTTTGTAGTAATTTAACTGATTAACTACGTATTACTATAAACTGCTGACTCTTATACTGGTGTTATTTAGTGGCTTGATTTTGATTTATACCCAGGTACTATACATTGTATACTTCAAGGAGAGATATATATATATATAGTAGTTCGAACAATTTACCCTTGTTTCAATACTCCAGGTATAGTACTAGTCAATGTAAATACCAGAATATCGGAGGCAAGTGTCAGTATATTTCTTTTGATATATTGTTGGTTAAGGGGAAATATACCGACACAGCATATACGTAACTTAATATATAGCAAAATGGCCAGAATTAAACTAATCAACACAGCATAGCCAGCATTATAGTTAGGATTAGTGTTAGGGTATACGGAATTAGTCACGTGTATGCTGTGTTAATATATATCTTCCCCAGTATTGCCATCAAAATTTTTACTTTCATATAACAAGTTTAAAAAAGCTTCAAGTTTGTTTAGCTTAGAGTTGGCCTTAACGATAGGGCTGGGTATTAGCTAAAATATAGTAAAATTGTACAAGAA